AAGTTTCTGTTACTGCACAGCAAAAGTGGTTTAGATAGTGCTTTTTAAAACCTCTTTCATCCCGGAAATTGGCCGGACGTGGCGTATGTTTCGTGTAACAGGACTGTACGTGGTTCGCATCGTTTTACTGCAACAACCTAACCTGCTCCGAACTTTGGAGAAGTGGAAGCACTATAAGAGTGACGGTCAAATCCCACTATTCGGTCAAACAAAGAGTAACCAGAGAGTTGAGGGTGGAAGCTGTTTACTGACTGCCTTCTCTTTAGTCTATCAGTTCAAAATTAGGGACGGCGATATAGCGTTACGCAAAATTCCTAAACAAATAAACTTGCGAGACCTGCTATTGTTCTGTTAGAACGGAAAGGGAAATACATTTAAAAAACTTGTATGAACTTTTGAAAATCGAAACAAATGAAAAATATATTTCGCAAAAATGTTTGTTACCTTAATAAATCCGTTTTTTTTTCTCGAAGCTGTTTGTTGTTAAGCGCAAAACTACACAATGGGCTATTTGGTTGTTCCCACGACAGGTATCGAAACCCGATTTTTAGCGTCGTAAGTACAGAGACTTACTGTTGAGCCTCTGGGGGGGGGGGTCTTCTTGAAGCTACGAAAGCAAAGTGAAACAACAATTAAAACTATTACACAATGTTATATTTTCAGAGCTAATCAGTTTTGGAGTAAAATTAAACCTAAGAGCCCATTCATTGAAATTAGCGAATTAACGAAATTGTCTTAAAGTTTCATTGCCATTGTTAAGTTAAACCGTAAGCTAATAATATAACGCATTGTTAGAAAAAATAACTTTAATTTTAGGCTTGAAAAAAAAATCCCATAAAAGACTACGTAATTCTTTTTATTACAACGTAAATGGGAAAAGGGAATGGACTCTATTGCTCATGTGCACATTTGAATGTTACTTACGCTTTTGGACTTCTGTGGGCTTGTAACTCTTCGTATACCCTTGGCCCAGCATGGCCAGATGGTTAGGGCGCTCGACTCGAAAATCTGCGGGTCGCGGGTTCGAATCCCCGTCACACCAAACATGCTCGCCCTTCCAGCTGTGGGAGCGTTATAATGTGACGGTCAATCCCACTATTCGTTGGTAAAAGAGTAGCCTAAGAGTTGGCGGTGGATGGTGATGACTAGCTGCCTTCCCTCTAGTCTTACACTGCTAAATTAGGGACGGCTAACGCAGATAGCCCTGGTGTAGCTTTGCGCTAAATTCAAAACAAACAAACAAACCGTATACCCTTACAGTTTTCTGAGAAAAAAAATATGCTTATTTAGAACTTCTTATTTACAATTGGAATCCAAACAGGGAAAAAATACTTAACCTGGGAACAAGAGCAGAATGAGTGGTGTTAAAAAAATATGCATTTAAAGCATTTTTCTCACAATCTTGGTTTAAATTTTGAATTTTATTTCATCTCTGATTTTGAGTAACACTATACAGTTAGTGACAAACCACAGTAAATGGAACAAATTATCAGGAGTCTTGATATTGGAGAAACTAGTTTCGACACATTCGTGTGTCCTCCTTAGGCTCCCGTTGTTTTCTAATTCTTTTTACTGTCCACTCATTAGTTTCTGTAGGAGTCTAATCCCGTATTAGCCTTGTCATCACCGTCAATAGCTTTAGCGAAGGTCATTTGGCTTAAATATACCAATAATGATAATGAAAACACGAATAATCTAGACTTTCAAAATACATCACCTGTAAAAAATAAATTCTGTAACAGTGTTAGAGGAGTGAGATCAATTTCTTCTTCCCTTGTAAAGTGTCATATGCATAGTTGAGTGCTTCTAAATTTGACTATAGTGTCTCCAAAACCGGGTGTCGATGTGAAAGAGGGGGGTTGTGATGGTGTTTTTCATTATTGTTACAATGTAAGGCTGTAGTTGCACATCAGCCCTTTCCCATGCACATGTCCCGAATAAATTTTGTAAAGCAGGCTTTCTTTTGCGTGTTCATTGTTTCGATGTGGAAGTTGAGAGTCCCACGGGGTGACTAGGTTGTAAGGTCGCGAGGTCAGTGATTCTGTTTCCAGATTTAGATTTTATGAACAAACGCCAAGCTAATCGCTATAATTTTTTATTATATTATTGTATTCAGACAACTGTCTCGTGAGGGGCGAGAAAACCCTAGCACGTGGACTGTGGCGAATAGCTACTACGTAAGAATAGTATTGAACTTTTTTTTTATTCCCAGCCATCTAGGACGATGCTATTATTGATAATGTCAGACATCCCAAACTATTATAGTCTAACGCTTTGGGTTTTCAATTTCAGGCAAAATTAAACTCGACGCGTGAAATGAGTCATCCAGTAAAAAAACACTTAACTTTGTTCGCGTCGTTATATTCTAGGAACTTCTTTGCGACTTCTAAGTCAGGGATCTGTGCAGGTTTTTACAGAAATATTGTACTGTTCTTGATTTTAACTCCTAAGGTGGGATACATAATACCCAAGCATTTTAATAAGTAATTTTTGTGTGTTATAATAAAATATTGAGGTTTTTGTTTGCATTCCAGTACGTCAGTGAAAGTTCGTGAATATAATAATATCCCTTTATCAATAAATCACAGTTTCCTAAAAGACAAAAACTTGATATTGTCGCTGTGACACATCTCTAAAACTTGCGTATGCAGAATTCATGTTTATAATTAAGAAAGAAATTTAAGTACAAAAACCACCGCTGCTTAAGAATACGAAGGTCAAAGTGCATCAAAGTGACAGTGTTGTATCGAGTACCTTCGTACTCAGAATATGAAAATTACATTGCACCTAAGTGACAACGTTGTAGTGAGTATTTTCGTGTTCAGAATATGAAAATTACATTGCACCTAAGTGACAACGTTGTAGTGAGTATTTTCGTGCTCAGAATATGCAAATTACATTGCACCTAA